GTCGTCATTATGAACCCTTGTGTGCACTACGTTGTACAAGACATGCAATTCCTCGTCAATAAGGTGAGATACGAGTGAGTCGTCCTTAAATGAACCCTTGTGTGCACTACGTTGTACAAGACATGCAATTCCACGTCAATAAGGTGAGATACGAGTGAGTCGTCATTAAATGAACCCTTGTGTGCACTACGTTGTACAAGACATGCAATTTATCGTCAATAAGTTGAGATACGAGTGAGTCGTCCTTAAATGAACCCTTGTGTGCACTACGTTGTACAAGACATGCAATTCCTCGTCAATAAGTTGAGATACGAGTGAGTCGTCATTAAATGAACCCTTGTGTGCACTACGTTGTACAAGACATGCAACTCCTCGTCAATAAGGTGCGATACGAGTGAGTCGTCAGTAAATGAAACCTTTGTGTGCACTACGTTGTACAAGACATACGATAACTCATCAATAAGGTGAGATACGAGTGAGTCGTCATTAAATGAACCCTTGTGTGCACTACGTTGTACAAGACATGCGATAACTCATCAATAAGGTGAGATACGAGTGAGTCGTCATTAAATGAACCCTTGTGTGCACTACGTTGTACAAGACATGCGATAACTCATCAATAAGGTGAGATACGAGTGAGTTGTCATTAAATGAACCCTTGTGTGCACTACGTTGTACAAGACATGCAATTCCTCGTCAATAAGGTGAGATACGAGTGAGTCGTCATTAAATGAACCCTTGTGTGCACTACGTTGTACAAGACATGTGATAACTCATCAATAAGGTGAGATACGAGTGAGTCGTCATTAAATGAACCTTTGTGTGCACTACGTTATACAAGACATGCGATAACTCATCAATAAGGTGAGATACGAGTGAGTCGTCATTAAATGAACCCTTGTGTGCACTACGTTGTACAAGACATGCGATAACTCATCAATAAGGTCAGATACGAGTGAGTCGTCGTTAAATGAACCTTTGTGTGCACTACGTTGTACAAGAAATGAGAATCCTCGTCGATAAGGTGAGATACGAGTGAGTCGTCATTAAATGAACCCTTGTGTGCACTACGTTGTACAAGACATGCAATTCCTCGTCAATAAGGTGAGATACGAGTGAGTCGTCATTAAATGAACCCTTGTGTGCACTACGTTGTACAAGACATGCGATAACTCATCAATAAGGTGAGATACGAGTGAGTCGTCATTAAATGAACCTTTGTGTGCACTACGTTGTTCAAGACATGAGAATACTCGTCAATAAGGTGAGATACGAGTGAGTCGTCATTAAGTGAATCCTTGTGTGCACTACGTTGTACAAGACATGCGATACCTCATCAATAAGGTGAGATACGAGTGTACCCAACCAATACTGCCAGGCACCCAGACATACAGTACGTCAAACCAGTGCCTCAATCCAATACTGTAGATATTGTCTTTCTGTCTCGTTTTAAGAGAGACCAGTGTCTCAAACCAATACTGCCAGGCACCCAGACATACAGTATCTCAAACCAGTGTCCTCAATCCAATACTGTAGATATTGTCTTTCTGTGTCGTTTTAAGAGAGACCAGTGTCCCAAACCAATACTGCCAGGCAACCAGACATACAGTACCTCAAACCAGTGCCTAAATCCAATACTGTAGATATTGTCCTTTCCGTCTCGTCTTAAAAGAGACCAGAGTCCCAAACCAATACTGCCAGGCACCCAGATATACAGTTCGTCAAACC